TATAAAAGAACAAGAGATGGTAAGATGGTTAAATTGTTATTATTTCATTGCTGAGATCTGTGTGATGTACTCGATACACTGACAGTGCCATAATCAGTTCCATTAGGCTACACCGCCGTTCCAAAACATGGGTATACAGACTGTCAAGTCACAAGAATAAAAATGCGAAATGTCTCAGTTCAATATCGTGTATGGCCGCCCCGCGCATTCACCACTGCCAAACACCGTCTCCTCATCGACTGCCTGATGCTTGTGAACACGTGGTTGGGGATTTTGCGCCATTGCTCTTGCAAGGCAGCGCCAAGTTCCTGCAAATTCTGAGGTTGGTTCCTAAGACCACGAAGCCTTCTCCTCAGTGCATCCCAAACGTGCTCTATTGGATTAAGGTCAGGGGACCTCGATGGCCAGTCCATGACGTTGATTCCAGCGTTTTGAAGGACATTTCGTGTCAACATCGCGGTATGCGGCCGAGCATTATCATGCTGGAACTGTAGACCTGGGCCATGAGCTGCCATGAAAGGAACGAGTTCAGGGATGAGCACCTGGTCGCGGTAAGCAGAAGCTGTGAGGTTTCCACGGATGACCAGAAGTCGGGAACGGTTGTTCCCGCAGAAAGCACCCCACACCATGCAACTTCCGCCCCCGAATCTGTCGACTTCCTGTACACAACAGTGGGCATACCGTTCACGACGTCGTCTCCAGACTCTATGCCTGCCGTCCGCGAATCTGAGGGTAAACCTGGATTCATTGCTAAAGACGACTCGATTCCAGTCTCTCTGGGTCCATCGGAGGTGACGTTGGGCCCACAGCAGACGTTGACGTTGATGAAACGGCGGCAATATTGGCCCACGATATGGACGTCGAGAATAGAGATTGGCAGCCCGCAACCGATTTCAAATGGTCTGTGAGGACAGTCGACCTCTAAACATCTCAGCCCTGGTTCGTGTAGCCGGCAGAAATCTGTCACGTAGGTGACGTGGGACGATTTGACGGTCTACTGCTCGTGACGTCACACGTGGACGACCCGACCTTGGGCGATCAGAAGTGGTGCCAGTTTGTTGTAGACGACCTCGCAAGTCATACACAGTACGACGACTGCATCCCATTGCTCTTGCGACGTCAATAACTGATCTTCCGGCTTGCAACATGCCAACGTCACGTTCACGTTGCACATTTGACAATCGTGGCATTTCAAGAACCGTTAGAACTGTGGTTTAAAAGTGTTTTTTCAATTCTTGAGGCCAATGCAAACACGTGCATATGAAGAAAACTTCGATGCGAAGATCACGTGATCGACTTCACGTGCAATACCTGATTTGGTCGAAAGATAGGGATCCCATTTCGGATGCATAGATGTATCATCAGAGAAAAGTTATTCATTATTTTTCAAATTACATTTTGTGAAGTTTCTTTTTTGACTCAGTATACATATACACATTTTAACATTACAATAGTATATACAATTAAAAAAACAGGCTATAATCATACACATTCTAAAACACGGGTTATCATGTTCAATATAAAAAAAATATGTGACCATTGACTTGGTCACAAGACCGTAGAGACGGTCTAATTAATTTGCATGATCTGTACATCGGAAATAATCTAACAAGAGATCAATATCCAAGGTTAAACACAAAATGAACCTTTCGTCATGTAACGCTTTCAGCTTAAATACACAGGAGCATTAATTAAGTGCCCCCCTAACTCCACGATTCTGGTCCGAATGAGCGATCACACCCTAGCACACGTGAGTGCACATCCACAAGAAAGCGCGTGCTTCACACAATATCTCAAAAGCTATGAGTCATAATTGGTTAAACTTTAAGAATTGCAGCATGTCAAGTACAGTTTTGTGAACTGATTTATAACACGACAGTACTGACACTGATTTTTTCTTGGCATGGCAAGGACGTTTCCGAACATACAAGATCCGGGTTAGATTTGGTCTTCAGCTATATGAAAACATGGAACTACCATGCTTGTCGTAAGAGGCGACTAATGGGATCGGGTGGACAAGTTTGCTGACTTGGTTGGCGCATGCTATCGAATCCAATTGCGTAATTCGGTGCTCATACTATTGATAACTGGATTGTCTCGTCCAGATTCGATTATTAAGACTACAGCCATATAACTGGAACATTGCTAAGTGCGGCATTAAACAACAAACTACTAACAACACACACAAGAACGTTTGCGGTGTACCCGTTCTTTCAATTAAGAAATACACTTCGCCCTACCACCATGTATAGTGTAATAAAACACACTTTTGCCCTGAACTGTTATAACGTTAATATAGTTAAAGCACGGGGACGCTTGCGTTATAATAGTTCAGGGCGAAAGAGTGTTTTATTACACTATACATGGTGGTAGGGCGAACTGTATTTCTTTTCTAAGATGTCAAATTTAATACTTTCTAAAGATAATTACGATTAATTTAAGGCAGAAAACAAACGACGGTGTCGGTGACCTAAATTAAGAATCCTCGCACAGGGCTAACTGGCGCGCTGTTCTATTGATGTGTCTGTCCCCTACGTTAAGACGAAGGTTACCAGAAAAAAACAAATGATAACAGTTTGATGACGGTTTACGTTCGGATTAAATATCTTATCTGAATTATTTTAATTACATCTGTCATTAACGTAAACCATATGGGGCAATATGAACGTTGCATTTCTACTACCAGCGTAAGTTTAGATCAGTACATCCAGATGAAGTTGAGTAGTCAAGCGACATTCCACAATTGCATTGTGGGAATGTAAACATTACGAACGTTACCGTGTCACTGAAAACTTGTGAGTCGTAATGACACATTTTAACCGTCGTAAAACATAAACGTAATGTTTCCACCAGTGATGTTAGCTGCGTCAAGCAACAGCAAACCAAGAAACTGGATGCAACGGTGTAGTTTACTGTAGGAGGCCGTACGAGACAATGACAACTGACATGCATCGTGACGTCGCTTACATTGTGACGTAATGTAAAATGGTTCGATTACGAGGGGGCACAGTAGAATGGCGCAGTGACGGGATAACGTCATTCAATTGTTACGTCATCAAAAAACTATACCTTTATTATCTGATAATGTATTATTTTTTCGATTGTTCTAACCGCTAGGCATCTTAGAATGGAAAATAAAGGGAAACGTTAAGTACTAAAATGAATAAGATCTCAAGTTACATAGCAAGAAAACTGTAATATTTATCCTGCTATAATCCGCGTGGGCAATTGCCTTGCATATTTATCCTTAAATGTGATTGCTTAGTTCACGGACACCAAGAACCCACGAAAGATGATGAACTCTCTTCCACTTTTATTGATTGGGTTGTTTCCACCCACACCTGTTCTCCCTTGCGGAGTGGAGCGACAGAAAATACAGCAGTATGGTCGCTGCCCGTCTTCGTCGTCGTGAAGCGATTATGCCGGATCGGGTTGTCCTTATCTGGATGAAAGTGTTGTTATTGCTGGACACCATCAGTGATAGATTTGTAAGGACATTTTGGTTCCAGAATCAGCTGCGGTGAGCTGGCCTGTGTGTTCGTTGTAGAAGAAGTCCAGCAATATCAGGACACCAGAAATGGACTTCACCCATTCTACCCATGTTTGGAATCAAACCCGGGTCTTCGGCGTGACGAGCGAACGTTTTAACTACTAGGCTACCCAACCGTCCAGATTGTATTGAAGTCGAAGACAAGCATATGAGAGATGGTATGCTAAAGTCGAGTCCAGTACCTGCGATATCCTTGCCCATTGTAAGCCAATCAAAGTACCTTGTCAACAAGATATTGTGTATATATGTACAGATATTTTGTATTACTTGACTAGCCGACCTAACCTAAAGCATATCCATTGTGGTCGAAAGAAAATTATAACTTAATAAGTGCCAGATTAGGCAGTTGAATCAAATACATTAAATGACTATTGAAGCAAGCCAAACAGTAATTAAGTTTTGGAATCATTTTATTCCATAAATTTACGGATCTAAAAACTGGAATATGACTTAGACACCATTATTGTTCTATTGAATCGATGAACAAAAATAAAGGACATCATTCTAATTTAATTACTTCGGGTCAGTCGATGTCATTACTAAGTTTGCATATAAATGCCTTAAAGTGAATGTATTTACAACCCATTAGATTGTAACAAATAACCTGTCATTTAGTGTAGATTGTTTCCTTATATCAAGACCCACGGAATGCCACGTGGTATCATATGTGTCAAGGCACTGAAGCTGTGATGCTTCATAGTAATCTATCCACATTGGGCATATCTGGGGAGAGTGAGTGAGTGAGTGAGTGAGTTAAATATTAAAGCCATATCGCGATGATAACAAGTTGGTTATAAATATTAAACACTTGTTGACAGAGAAATATAATAAGGTTGATACCATAGCTATGTCATAAAAACCACATTGGTATTAAAAGAAATCATTTTAGAAGGATATACGGCTATACTGAAAGCCATTATAAACGCAATTGGTATTTGTTGTCCTGGAACTTACAAAAGTTCTATTGAAGATTTGTTTCCTGCGATACAGTGGATGTAGGGATAAAAGGCTGTTATTCTGACCCATTTCGAGTTCGAGTACCCGAGCATTCCTCTCACATGAACTTCGATGCTTAAAACTGAACCTTTGACATTTCTCGTAAACACAACCACATTCAAGAAACACGTTGTGCACGTGCATTACCTGCACCCAGGCCCTTTGAAAGCACAAAGAATTGTGAAACTCAATCACTTTGAGATGCCACGCTGGACGCAAGACGAAAGGAATCAGGCTATCGGTATGGTCACCAAGGCGCTTCAGACGTGATGATTGCCAGGCACTTTAATGTGCATCCATCCACTGTAAGTCGACTCAGACAACGTTTTCGGGCTACCGGAAGTGTTGCTGATCGTCCGCGACCTGGTGCACCACCTGTGACGACAGCTCGACAGGACCGCAATATCCGAGTTTCACACTTGCGAAATCGGTTCCAAACAGCTGCTGATACGGCATGGAGGACAATTGGGACAAGGCAACGTCGGTGCAGAGACGCCTCGCCCGTACCGTGGTCAAACCTTATTGCATCGCCACAGACTTGCCAGACAGCAATGGGGAGCTAATGGGGCCAATCTTGGCAACAGGCCATGGCTAGATGCCATTTTTGTCAGATGAATCCATGTTTAACGTATCCTTTGCAGATGGACGTCAACGGATTTATCGACGTCGAGGAGAAAGACGTGCGCCAAACTGTGTCCTTGAACATGATCGCTTTGGAGGGGGTGGTGTCTTGATCTGGTATGCTATCAATGCCAACTTCAGATCCCAGATGGTAGTGGTTAACGGCAATCTGAATGCTAAACGTTATGTGGACAATATCCTTCGTCTGGCTGTACTCACAATGACGGATCAACATAGCGGTCGTAACCAATTTGTGTTTCAGCATGTTAATGCACGTCCCCATGTAGCCAGGGTAACAAGGGACGTTTTGAATAATGAGAATGTGCGGTGGACTGGCCTTCATTATCCCCATGAACCCATTCGAGCATCTGTGGGATGAACTTGGATGGCGAGTTCGAAATCAACTTGTGCCACCAAGGACAGTTGATGAACCCTTCAAAATCACTGGCATACCATCCCACAGCTTATCCTGAGAAATGTGTGTCTTTCCATGCCCGGCCGGAGGCTGCGAGCATGTCTTACAGTCTACGGTGGACACACACGATTTTGAGCGCAAGTGACCCCTCCCTTGTTTGATGTTGTTGATTCACTGATGTTGTTGTTGATTGGACGTTTTCAGATGAAATTATCCACAGATGTTCACATATCTGCCAGTTACACTTATATATATACATACAAATATCTGGTGAGAAAACAGAAAATATTTTTGTATGACACCATCTCAAAATACTAAATTTCGTCGCTGTCAATCCAGTGGTTATGCCCATTGCATGTGAAAACACTGAGCTCAAGATGAAAGAAACAAAGCTTCTGTATGTTGTCGGTGAGGGAATCTTAAAGTTGTCCGTCAGGGTTGAAGTCATTTTAAGAAATATATGTCTTTCATATACTTATGTACCCGTGAAGAAACTCACTCACTCACTCATATACTTATGACATCAGTTCCATGATCCAATGGAAAACCGTATGTAATGTAAGCTATTAAAAGATATTAGAGTGAACATCTGACAGGCACAGTTATTTAAAAAGAGAATGACCATATGGAAAACTCAATGAACATTTTACGATTGATGTTGCTTTCTCTGGAATGAGTAGGCATCTTGTCTAGTTTCCTTTCTAAAATCAAACAAAGTGGTAAAGAAATTGAAATAATATTGAAACATCTGTTTTCCACGTGGACAATGTTGCATACAAATGTTTACAGTTGTTTCACCCCGCATCTAGCAACCATAACATTTCTAATTCATGCGTCTATTTCTGTGTTAGAATTGAAGGAATAATCTGGAACATACGTACATCAAGTGTCAGGGTTCTGAGTAAGCAATAGATAAAATCCTGGACTATTTCTTCAAGGTGCGCTATCACATGTCTGGCCTTCCAGGCTTCTTATTAATGCTAAATATAGACTGTGGGCGATCTGTCTGAATTCAGTTATCTTTAAATTCAAGATATCTGTAAGAACTGCCTCGGTGTTGATCAGTGTCTTACAACGCTACAGGTTAAAATGTTTATGACGAACTTGTTCTTGTTTATTTTGCTTCCTCCCTCTTTCTCTGGACTAATTTTACCTCTGACAAAACCAGATGGCACTGCTGATCTCTCCAGTGTATTGAGTCATGTAGTCCTGCTTGAACAGTCAATGACAAACCTTCAGACGACCACAAGTCAACTGAAAACAGATCTACAGGTAACAAAACAGGATCTGGAAAGTACCAAAACAGAGCTACAATCCGCAAAGACGGACCTACGGAACACCCAAACAGACTTACAAACAAGCAAATCACTGCGACAACTGGCAAGTGCTGAAATGTCCTCTCTGAAGGATGAAGTGGCATCACTGAAGGCTGAACTGAAGCTGTCAGCGAATGAATTGAACCAAGTGAAGTCTGAACTGAGAGACATGAAACAGGATAAACTTAATGCTAACTTTCTGTTGAACCTAACGATGGATGCAATGGGTCACAATATCAAGCTGAACACTGTACAGGTTAATACACTGCAGTCAAGTGTTTCGGCTTTAGATAACCATCTGCACCGAGTAAATACTACCCTGTATGATGTCAAGACTGAAGAAGAGGCGTTCATCCTGAATACCTCATCGTCTCTCAAAGTGATTACAGACCAGTTGTTGTTTGGGGTCCGGGAAATGGTGTCCACAAAGGAAGTGCAACAAAATGCGTCGAAACAGCTGGAAAGACTTCAGAATGAAATGAACCAAACTTCTGTTGATGTGCGCAATGTTCAACAGGCTCTTCACATGGTCACGGATAATCTACACACAGCGCAAAGTAACATCACGTCCACGATCGCTGATGTTGCTGATTTGCAGCGTAGCATGTCACGTGTGCAGTCACAGTCACAAGGCAACACCAAGTCGCTATCACAAGTCATACAGGACGTTGGTAAGTTTGTTTTCTTGGTTTGTTTTTGTTTGGTTTGGTGTTTTGTTTTACGCCGCACTCAGCAATATACCAGCTATATGGCAACAGTCTGTAAATAATCGAGTGTGGACCAGACAATCCAGTGATCAACATCACGAGCATCAATCTATGCAAATGGAATACATGTGTCAGCCTGTGTATTTGCAACTTAATAATACTGAAACTTGCATGACTGCTGTCTTGATAACTTGCGCGACAATTATGATGTTGATAAGACCACAAAATAGAGAGCGGTGTTGGGCATACACATATTATTGTATATAGCGTCAGTGAAGATTGGGTTTAAAATTGGTCTTCAGGAACCCAGACTTGTCGTATGAGGCGACTAACGATGATGTCGACACTGGGTCGTTCGGTCCAGATTGGATTATTCATACACTGATATATAGCTGGAATATATTTCTAGTCTGGCGTTAAATAAACAAATGCTATTGCTCAAACTATAGGTCCATTGCTTATGGCAACCTTGATGATACTATAAAAAAAAAAAAAAAATTGAAATGCCATCTATATAACTGAATAATGTATGGTGGAAGTCTTCTTCGTGTGTTGCATCTTTTTTTTCATTTTGGAACAACTTCCCGGTACTTTTATCCGGTTTTAGTTTATGGCAATTAACAATAACTGGCCGGATTTTAAGTGAAGTCTCCACTCTCGCGCGGGACGTCTGTTGTGGTACCAAGCAGGTTTATTAGTAGAAATTAGGACCAAAGAATATTTTAAGCAGCATAATTAATAGTATGACAGTATGCTGCTTTAATTATATCATAGAACATGTAAATTACGCAAATGTGTGCGGAACTGCACATGCTAATTAGTTATGTACCGCCTGTAAACCTCACTGCCAACTGGATACTGTATGCGTTAAGCGCATTAAAGTGTGTTTTTATTGATGTTCACGAGAGATATTTAGGCACACACACACACACACACACACACACGCACACACACACACACACACACACACACACACACACACACACACACACACACACACACACACACACACAAAGGTACTGGATTTGATTTGATCTTGTCAACTCTCATACAGTCTGGTTGATTAAATAGCTTCACTCCCTTACTACGAAGGGAAACATTTACAAGTTGAAATCTCCTTGACAACAGACCTTGTTTGGATGAATCATATTGAGAGTTAGCCCAAACTGTACATGCATGGCAAAAGGTGTCCTTTGTTAAATGTTTCTTTCAATTGTGTAGCGTCAAAGACAAGAACCGTTGCCTTCCGTACAGAAAGCCCACCCGATACAGCCATCGGAACTCCGCTTGTCTTTGACTTCACCATCTACAACGTCAACTCTTGCTACGACGACAACACAGGAAAGTTCACCGCACCAGTTTCTGGAACCTATATGTTCTACACCAATCTATCCCTGAAGGTATCCAACACGTTCGGTACTTACATCCATATTATGAAGACGGGATCAAATATTATCGGGTTTGGGACGGCGAAGACGGGCAGCGACCATACTGCTGCATTTTCTGTCGCTCCACTCCGCAAGGGAGAACAGGTGTGGGTCGAAACAACCCAATCAATGAAAGTGGAAAAGAGTTCTTCAGCATCATCATTTGGTGGGTTCTTGGTGTCCGTGGATTAAGCGACTCACATTCAAGGATAAATGTGCAAGGGACTTGCCCACGCATGCTATGGCATGATAAATATTACCGTTTTTTCCCTGTAACTTGAGGTATTATTGGTTTTCATACTCAATAGTTTCCCTTTCTTTTCCAAGTGAATATGTACGAGTACAATGCAGTTTCGTAGGCTTCAAGAAGTGTTTATGTTAGTAGCTAATGACGACAGTTCTTAGAAGGAAGGTAGTGCGCAGTTTTGACGAAATGTTCTAAGTGGTAAGTACAGTTGATTTGAGCATATATTTTGCATTTTACCCTTAAGATAAATTTGTCGAATTCTGATTGGTCAATAGCCAAAGCATACCAAACCATGTAGGCGGATTTGCCAGGGTGTACGGACCGTACACCCCGTCAAATATGTTATGTGACACACTACACGGGGTTGTACGAATGACCTTGACCTTAGATTGAATGTGGCTGCCAAACGGCTGATCGCTTCGAAATTTTAGAGTTGGCGTATACAATAATGAGTATAAACAGAGTAATAAAATTGTTGCCATAATTTGTTATTTGTTTGTTAGTATATATGCAATATGTAAAATGTTTCTGTATTTCACTTGTCGTTTATCAAAACCTCAAATTCGATATTTTTTACCATAAACTAAGCCATCCCGAGTTATCTCCCTTTATGACCGTTCAGGAAAAATCATGGAGAAATATTTTGCGTCTCATTCTGCCGCATTCGTAACTACTCGTGTCATTTTTGCAGGCCGGATGGCGTCTCGTTCCCCTCTCGTGGGCATGTTTACGACTGGGCCCTGTCTAAGCGCAAACGGGCATAAAGATGAAAATAGTCTAGTACTATTATCAAGTAGAGATAACTCTGAATTTCCAAACATGGCTCCTAGAATATCCTATTTACCGTGGGCAAAACAGCAATACAGTCATTCCCTTTGTAAATATGTTTCAGTGTTGAAAGTTGCGGATCCCTTAGATCAAAGTTTTTATGTTAAAATTGTAGCATGTTAGCGAAGTTTCAAAGTTCAACAGGACCGCCATCTTCAAATGCGTTTTTGCGATTGGAATTGGTTTGGATGGCCCTTACGAGAGTCTTCTTGCTCTGACCGCCGAGAAGATTTCTGCCGGACCGTCTAATTTTTAGCCAGCCCGATGGACGGGTGAAAAAAATAATTCAGATAACGTGTCACTGGCACTGCCTATTTGTTAAATCTCTTCTGGGCTGGTAAGTTTTTGAAGTTACCAGCCCAGTTGTCTGGCTATTTCATACACTGTTGTAGGTCACGGAAAGAGGCGAGTAGTTACGAATAATTCTGCCTATGATTGAATGTTGTTGTTGCGCCTCAGGAAATACGGAAGTTACAAGGGTCTTAGTTCCGGATACCCTTTCAAAACACTGTGTAACTAATATTAACATAACTGAAGTCGCACTGGAAAGTGGTATCACATACACCCATGACCAGCATTTGTTAATTATATTGTTATTGTCTTCCTAAAATCAACTAGTACTGCCCTTTATGTCTGTGTTTAGGGTGCTCTGGCATCATTATACCCATACCATAGAGTATGATATCAGTTTTCCGCATGTATTCTTTTGCTTTGCCAATACAGTACTTGTTTAAGAAGGAAAGAGTGAGTGAGTGAGTTACAATTTAACGTCACACCGGCAATATTTCAGGCATATAGTGACGAGAATAAAGTTAGTATATATGATAAATATCTGTCACAAAGGACAGTAAAACTTGAGCAACGTATCACAGAAAGCAAGTCTAAAGACTAATCATTTCCAATTCTAAAAATGCGACTCGATATGACATAAGAACTTAAGAAAGATAGAATAAACAAGATACTGTCTCTCGCCAGTACAACTTTCGTGATGTTTTTGATTATTTATTTTTCCATAGCTGTCAATGCAAGAACAATCGAAAATCATAAGAATGTTCTTGTATGATAAATAAAGTGGTGGCGATTAGGTGCCTCAGTCTGAGAGTGTGGGTTGGAATCCCGGGTAGGTCTCAACACTAAAAATGAACAAAAATAATAATACTGAAAGGCAAAAGAATCGTCGTTATATTGGAAATGACATTTAAGTATCAATGGAGTATTTGAACCTATTTTGTTTTAAATATTGTCAAGTCTGAGGAGAACACAGCCTGTACATTTGAGATTGTGGTTTTAAAACCTTGTGGAAAGGGATGAGTTCGCACAAACACAACATTGAATCGAGATGCACGTCCATCATGCATGCATTCGAGCATTTAATTTAAGTTTATCTTTGGGCTGCACACACTTTTGTTCTAATGGCCTTTCCTCATACATCGTACTGGATCTACCACAAAGCTGTCTATATGGCAGTAACATCTGCAGAAAATTTCCTAATGTGATATGTGCACGCAAATTCACGCAACTAACTCATTAGTTTTCGAAAAGACTTCGAATACTGTTACGTTTGAGGTCCTCTAACTAACTCTCCTTTTACAACATTTTAATTCATGATAAAAAAATACACAATGTGTTTACAAGGGTCTGCCAGGTTGGGGCAGATCATCAACCAGAATTTAGGTAAATCTACATGTTGGCATAGTACCGAATATATAAAATAAATAAAACTAACTCATTATTCGAAATAATAGTGACCCAGCTGTTTCCTTTACAATGTGGGTCGGTGGGGCAGCCCAGTGGTTAAAGCGTTCGCTCGTCAGACGCCAGTTCTTTACCGTGATATGAGTTGTTCGTGGTTAGACATGAAAGAATATCGACTATAAAATCAATGTAAATGATTACGATGTTCTCACACTCAATGCCAGGGAGCTGACCACACAATACATACGTAACAACGATGGTCATCCCAGTGATGGAGTTGCTGCTGACAACTCCGGCAGATCGTCCCATGTCCACGTTCTAAAGCATTGTTTCATTCATCTTTGCACCATTTGTCAAGGATCCGGGTGATTCGGACGTCGCTTCGGGCGTCGCTTCAGGTGCCGTAGCGGGCGTTGTTGCAGGATGCGTTGTCAAAGTTGTGGTGGTAGTAGCTGGTGTGGTCACAGGTTGACATGAAGATTTTCCTGTTGTTAATCAGTATATTGAAGCAAACAAGTCTTCAAATCTCAACAAGGACTAATGTTATTCATTATTGTTTTGTCTGGGGTTTACGTACCTTATACATCTGCAATAGAGCTTTGAGCAGTGTTAAATATGAGACAAGTAAGCCTACACTTATCTATTAACTGACAACCCATAAAGGGCCATATGTTTGTCACTATTCACCTCAATCATCACTTTTCAACTAATGTTACAATAACTGAAGGTTTACGTCAGGATTTATTTTAACTGGTTAACGGATTAGTTTGGCCTTTAGTTTTGTTCTTGGGTAATATATTTGAGAAACGAGATTCTTACCAAGTCGCCACCATGCATTATCTACTGAAGATATTTCGATGCTTTCAATGCTGTCAATCATTGCGAGAACAAAAGAAAAGGTTGACCACAGACCGAATTCTCCAACTTCGCAACCTTCGCCGATAGTGATTTCAGAAAATGAAACCTGCACCCATAGTGGTGTGTAGTCGTCACACGCGTCTCCGGACAAAGCCAACATCTCCCCAGTGCAGTAATCATTGAAGCCGGACTCACAGAGCTTCATATGAGATGTCTTGTTTGGATAAATGTCTATGACTACCCTATCGTAATCTATGTTAATGCAGAGCTGCACTTTACTGCAACTCTTCACGTCAAACAACAGGGAATCCGAGCTGAAAACCGTCTCCCCATCCACCTCTGTCAGCTTTACAGTGCTGTCAGTTCTTGCGGTTTGAAACACGTCAGCGTGGATTCGATCACCTGAAACAAAACATGAGGAAGGTCAATAAGGATTGATATACAATAAGGTACGTAACAAATACAATCCACCCCGGACATGAACTCGGAGATTAAAATATGTGTATGAAGCAATAGCTCTGTTCCGTTATTGGCTTCATACAAACTTACGCTGGTCCATCCCCTTTTTCTAAAACCCACTTAACATCTGTACTTCCCCACATTGGTCCAATGTGTGAAGCCCATTTCTGGTTTTCCCCCGCCGTGATATTGCTGGAATATAGCTAAATGCGGCGTACAACCACTCACTCACTCACTTAGTATTTGTACATTCGGAATACGCATGACAACACCATGTCCATGAGTGTTAGAAATTTCGATTTTGAAATTCTATTCTCACTGCAAAATGTGCTAATAAATCACTATCAATTGGCATATCCTCACCTACAGCTAACACCCTTGTCAAATACATGCATATGCAAGTTATATATTGACCTCGTCACGTGATACAAGTAAAAATAACACATGGGAACACGGGACGTCCGAATGATTCCCCAGCACCATATTGCTTGTCGTATGAGACCAATACGTTGCCGTTGGTTGAGCTCTGTGTCGTCAGAGGAAATGACTTTGGTACCAGGAACAGGAGTTTTGTTTGGCCAACACTTTGACCCTAACGGTGCCTGATGGCAAAGTCAGCAGGCTGGCCACGCCCTTCCTCGTGAATGTATAATGGTGCGGTCCCAGTGGCGTACGTTAGAAGAAGGTTTTTTCCACTTCACATTATATTGCAAATATATCAACGATGACGTCCCATAATTAAAGACAGTGGCTCATGGGCCAATATGGCTGCGTTAACCTTCAGGTTCTGTCTTCTGTTTACACCCCAGGACCGAACAGCTTGACATTACATTTGCTGGACAGAAACATCTGCTCCTTGTATCTTCAGGTTCTGTCTTCTGTTTACACCACAGGACCGAACAGCTTGACATTACATTTGCTGGACAGAAACATCGGATCCGTTAACCTTCAGGTTCTGTCTTCTGTGTAAAGGATCAAAACCAACTCCGAGGTTTTGTTTGGAAAAGTAAGACCGCGGCAGAGGGAAATTGGCGAGGGCTGACAGGCCCGACCTGATTTCCCGAGGCCAAGGGCTTACGTTTTCTAGAAAAACCGACTCCGAGGTTTTGAGCCAACTTATGAACCGACCGAAGATATACTTTAGATATAATTTTAATATTTCGTATTTACTGGTGAAATCAACTGGGATGCGACTGGCGGCGCTCACCTTGCCTTCCACGCGCAATGCACGTGCTCTGCACGCGTTACCAATGTCCTGCACTCGCGCTGCCCGGACTACCCGTGTGGTGAGGAACACATGGTTCATACTGACAAACAATCTCATACTTCACAGCAATCCTTCGTAGCGTAGTGGATAAAACCGACAAACTAGTAAGCTAAGGATTGCGGGTTCAAAACCAGGTATCGGAACTATGTACTGAAAGTTTTCAAAATGGTGATATTTTACGATTGCATTCAGTGATAGCAAGACAAAGTTATTGTTATTATTAAACGGAGAACCTGACGAGATAATAGCGTGACGTCACTGGAAGTTTATAATTCTGTCGCATCCCAGTTGATGTCATACAGTCAGAATTTTTTTATCTCCTAATTAGGTGATACTATCTCATTAGAGATATTAAGTCCCACTAGGACTTAGCTATCTCCTAATTAGGTGATACTATCTCCTAATTAGGGACTTAATATCTCCTAATTAGGACATAGCTATCTCTAATTCACTTCTTCTGTTTGGGTTTAGCATCTTGGATGAAGTCATGGATGAAAACATACATTTGTTTCATGTTGGACATGCAGTATTCAGAAATTGTGTCTTGTTTTTGGCCCATGTAAATGGCATCATTATCAGCATAAAGCCTTTGAAAAGGAAATCAAAACGACTGAATCTGTTTAGGCGAAGACATAATAGTGATATGGCAGAAGTTGCTATGTTCAGTAGTGAAAGTGGAGTGAGTGAGTATGGTTTTACGCCGCTTTTAGCAATATTCCAGCAATATCACGGCGAGGGACCGTGAGTGAAAGAGGTAGAAGAATCAGGACAAATGTGTGCTTACAAGCTTATGCATCTGAAATGCATACAAGAGGGATTCATTATCAGTCAAGACATGGTGCATTTGGTGCATTTAGTAGTGGCAGAAATGAGAGTACAAGAACACCCAACTGCATGTATTATAGGAGAACGGGCAGCCCCTGAATGTGAGAGGCTACCACACAAATGACGTCACTAGGGGAATCCCCCTTGTTTCCTCTATAGCATGACCGACGCCATGTTGAAAAAAAAACTCAAGCCGTCCGTTTGTGTAATGACACATGCCTGCACAAATGCAAATTTATAGAGCCGAAAATAAACAATGACAACATACAACTTCTATACACAATATTTAATATCCCCGTGCATGCAGAATGGACATGGGTAGGGAGAGCCTCCCTAAGCCACCCTTTACAATCTATATACAGATGTCTCTTTGAAATATACAAATACACTTTACACATCTCTCTACCATGTGGTGGTGTCTGGTGGTATGTGGTGGTGATGGTGGTGGGTGATGATGGTGATGTTGGGTGATGGTGGTGGGTGGTGGTGTGGTGGTGTGTGGTGGGTGTGGTGGTATGTGGTGGGTGGTGGTGGTGTGGTGGTGTGGTGGTGTGGTGTGTGGTGGGTGATGGTGCTGATGGTGGTGGGTGGTGGTGTGGTGGTGTGTGGTGGTATGTGGTGGGTGGTGGTGTGGTGGTGTGGTGGTGTGTGGTGGTGATGGTGGTGTGTTTTGGTATGTGGTGGTGGGTGGTGGTGGGTGATGGTGATGGTGGTATGTGGTGGTGATGGTGGTGTGTGTGGTGGTGTGTGGTGGTATGTATTTGTGTGTGTGGTGGTGGTGGTGCTGTGGCTGTGGCTGCTGCTGCTGTGGCTGCGTCTGCGTCGTCAGCGTCAGTGGAACCACATTTTGGCATTCATCTGAATGTTTGACTCTCATGTGTCTCTTCAAATCATAGGGGCGGTGGGGTAGCCTAGTGGTTAAAGCGTTTGCTCGTCACTCCAAAGACCCGGGTTCGAATCCCCTCATGGGTACAATGTGTGAAGCCCATTTCTGGTGTCCCCTGCCATGATGTTGCTGGAAAATTGCTAAAAGCGGCGTAAAACCAAACTCAGTCAGTCAAGTCAGTCAAATCATAAGACCATGTATAAGTATTTCCACACGAAGAACAGATATCCATCTTGATGTTTCTCCTCAAAAGGTCAGTGACAGAACAACAAGGTTCTGGGCGATTCATACCTCCATTCATTGGCTCTTCTCTGATTCTCAATTGACCATAGGCCAGACTGGTTACACCATCTTCGGGAAGATATCGCTTGTCATTGAAGGAGAGACGACCAAATATCAGTGCATAAAATGGGGTAATATGGGAAATGCTAATGGAACTACTATTAAATTAATTGCTGTGATTGCACGTGTAAAATGACTGTAAAACGTAGTGATAACGTTTTGTTTGTTTTATAAACATGGTTTACAATATAGTTGTGCAAGACGATTTGAAGGTAGGCCTACTAACCCACTGACCCTAGTTATACAGGTCACGTCTGTTGTACATAGCCAGGCGTGTATGCACAGGCTAAGACTCGAAATATATTATTGTGGATACAAGTGGACAAACATTACACAATATATAAAACTATGTATAAACCTGGGACAGCTTTCTGTTCAGTTGGGAAGATGTATGTATGTAGCCTGTTACAGATTCGTAGGACAGTAAGGACTGTGTTTATATGATAAGGCATGCTTACATGACGATCTGAAAAATGTGACTGTTGATCCTCATAGATTATATGGATTATGCGATACTGTGGATAAATAGTAATGAACAGGTGAGGTCATTGGCGTTGGGTGTTCTGGTACTCTTATTTCTACCACTACTAAATGCAGCAAAGACGCACCGTGTCTTGACTGACAGTGAATCCCCTTGTATGCATTTCAGATGCATAAGCTTGTAACCACATATTTGTCCTGATTCTTCTATAACATATGTTATATTTGGGATAACACTTTCTTAGTAAAGTACCATTCTAGTACTTTTGTTGGGTTGAGTCCCATCAGGGATGGCATCCAATCGCCAGCCATCCGATCGCCAGCACACAAAGTCAGCCGGCTCACCCACCGCGACTTCCAGCCACCGCTGGCGATTAGGTGCCTGACTCTGAGGGTGTGGGTTCGAAACCCGGATGGGACTCAACCCGACAAAAGAACTAGAATTTGTACTTTTCTAAGAAAGTGTAATCCCATATATAACATAGGTTACATCTGACCACTTTCTAAATGGCACTGTGTAATCACTGGTTCTTCTACCTCTTCTACCTCTTTCACTAGTATGTCTTCGCCTACACAGTTTCAGTCGTTTTGATTTCCTTTTCAAAGGCTTTATGCTGATAATGATGCCATTTACATGGGCCAAACAAGACACAATTTCTGAATACTGCATGTCCAACGTGAAACAAATGCATATGCTTTCATCAATAACTTCATCCAAGATGCTAAACCCAAACAGAAGAAGTGAATGACTTTTGGTTGACTTTTTCATACATATTTTTAAGATCCTTAAGTCCTAATTAGGAGATATTAAGTCCCTAATTAGGAGATACTAAGTCCTAATTAGGAGATAGCATCACCTTATTAGGAGATAGCTATGTCCTAATTAGGAGATATTAAGTCCTAATTAGGAGATAGTATCACCTAATTAGGAGATAGTATCACCTAATTAAGAGATAGCTAAGTCCTAATTAGGAGATATTAAGTCCTAATTAGGAGATAGTATCACCTAATTAGGAGATATTAAGTCCTAATTAGGAGATAGTATCACCTAATAAAGGAGATAGTATCACCTAACTAGGAGATATTAAGTCCTAATTAGGAGATAGTATCACCCTAATTAGGAGATAAAAAGAATTCTGACTG